GGTTTAGGATTTTTATGTTTCTGCTTAAAAATGACTTTAGTTATACTTTTCAAAAGAAATCGATGGATGCATTTAATGTTTCACTACTTACATCCGTATCATTAAATCTATTGTGCAACAGAAGAGCCAATAGGAATGCCTGGGAACTACGCTTTATTACAAGACAAGTTTTGAGTTTGTTGCTATTGGCACGGAGGAAACAGTTTTATGCCGCTTTGGAAGTCTACAAGTAAAATGTGAGCTGAAGGGATGCTTTAGTGGTGACTTAGCTTCTGTGCATGTTTTATAGCTCTCAGGACAACTATTTGTGGGGAGCTGCACTACCTCTGCTTAGCAACCATTTTTCTTATGTGGTCATTTTCTTGTTAATATGAAGCTAGTTAAGTATTTCTTTAACTACCAGTAAAAAATAAACTCCTGATACACTGAAATTATAATCTGGATGAATATAGGGAGGGTGGGAGTGAGTGAGAAAGAGTGAATGGACTAACCCACTCATTTGACCCTCATTTGGAAGCTATATCTTAATCATGAGAAGGGGATATCTCTGACCCCATTTTGACAGGGTAGCATCAAAATGCTTCTAAGGGATATAGAACACACTGGACGATAGAGTAGGACATGGGATGTTAATTCTGCTTTCTTACTATCTGTATGGTTTAATCTTCAGCTTCATGTTTCCTTTCTCACAATATAATTAAGTATTGAAGTGTCTCAGAATTCCTTTATTTACTAATTTGTTTATTTCATTTTAACTTATTTTATTTTTGTGGTAATGATGACTGAACCCAGGGGTGCTCTACCATGAGCTATATCCCCAGGTCTTTTTATTTTACATTGAGGCAAAGTCTCCCTAAGTAACCCAGGCTGGTTTCAAACTTGTGATCTTCCTGCCTCAACTCTGGAGTCACTGGAATTAGAAAAATGTATCACTGCACCCAGCTTAAGGATTCCTTAAATTTCTAATATTCTAATTCTAAATACAGAAAAATTTTATCCAACTTAGTTCAAAAGTAAAATATGTTGTAGGAGTCAGATAATTTAATTTATTTGCAGTAATTATGGAGCAGTGGCTCAGACTTTTTATGGATCAGAAGATCTCTTGTTAAAACATGAATCCTCTTTGATACCATTTTTATTTTTATTATATAGTAATGAAAAAACAATATCAAAACCCATTAGAAATTCAGAAATACTCTTAAATGTTAACTAATCATAGTAGCCTCTACATCCTCTTTCTCCCTCTCTAAAAGGCCTTTGGGCAAAAAAAATAGAAGTGATTCAATGTGAAAGCAATTTTTAGTTTATATAAAGACTTGGATCTATTGCAATAGCTCCAAAAATAAACTCCAAAAATATTTGGGAAACTACCAAAATAAAGTATGAAGAGATGAACTCGAGCATCCCCTAAATAGAAGTTAGATAGTACTCATCTAAGGGAGATATAACCCCCAAATGGGGAACAAGTTAAACATGATAGTGAGGGAAGTCTTTCCCTCGTAATATTTTATGCTGCTATATTCAAATAGGAAGGAAGGAAGGAAGAAAGGAAGGAAGGAAGGAAGGAAGGAAGGAAGGAAGGAAGGAAGGAAGGAAGGAGAGGGAGGAATGAGGGAAAGAGGGAGGAAGAAAACAGAAAAAACTACACAAAGCCGGGGAAGATCATTCCAGAGAGGGTATGGTCTAAAGATAGAGTGTATTCTCCTTGCAGTGAAATCCCAGGAGTGGGATGCTTTGACTTTGAGGAGATAAAGGAGTGCGCTAAGGCAGAGTCTTAAAATTTAGCAAAATGTGGATTATGGCAAAAAAAAAAAAAGCAATGGAAAGATTTTAAGCAAGCTGCAGAGTGCAGTTACATTTTGAAATTACCTGGAATGGACTGAAATGAAGAAAGAGAGTCTATGAAAAAAAACCAGTAAAAAGATGCAACCAGTAATCCACATAAAAGACAACAATGGACTAGGGGAAGACAATAGGGGAAGACAATAGAGATAGGAAGAAATGCAAGCATGAGAAAGCACTCCAATGAACCATACTGGAGGATGAGTTGGGTACATGGGCAAATTAGGCAACTAGAAATCATGGCTAGTTTTCAGGCTTGTATTACTGGAAGGTTGGTAATTCTTTTTCTGACACGCAGAAGATTGTGAATGAGATAGAAAGTGAAATGGGGAAAATATATTAATCACATTATAAAATTAATATATAATATTAATATACATTATTTATCAATATATTAATTATACAAAATTAATATATAATTGTGTGTGATAATTAATATATAATATTCCATTAAGTAGTCTGTGCAATTTACTTTTGGGGAAACACATAAGAGAATGAAAAGGAAACACTAGCTGCTAATAGAATTTAACTGACTACAGTGTTTTTTTCCAGGTTTAAGAGCATTTTGAAAGATCTGTAAGATTTCTGCTAACTCGGACTTGTCAGTCATTCAGTGAAAACTTGCTCCCACAGTTTATTAGCAGAACCTTTGACTTTAACTAACCATACTGGCCTAATTGTTGTCCTTCTACCTGCCCCTTATATTCCCATTGGGCCTTATGTTTTAGTTACTGTCAACCCTGTACCTTGAGGCAGGCTTCTGGAATGGGGAGTGGCAAGAGTCTGCTAATTAACTCCTGACAACTTCTATCCACCTCATGACTTCATTTCTGTTTTAATGAAATGGAGGGCAAGTGGGTGGATATAGCTCTAGGGTTGTCTGCCTCTGAAATGTGAGCTGAAACTATCAGTGTAAACTCAGCACATGCTGGGAAAATAGAGATAGTATTTCTTTGTATATTTTCATTATGAAAATTTTCAGTATACAGTAAAATTGGAAAAAAAATCATAGTGAATTTCTTGTATATCTGCCATCTATATTCTACAACAAACATAGCAAATGTACTTTTTATATCTATCCATTTTTCCATTCCTCCATCCATCCATTAATTTGTCTTACTTTTTGATACATTTCAAAGTAACTTATAAATATCAATACATTTCCTGACAGATACTTCAGGTTAAATAACATTAAATAAAATTAATATGTTCTTTTTTATTAATAAAATGTATATATAAGATTATGATTATAGGTGCTCATTCACTGCATTTTGAGAAATATACACATCTGTATAACTCAAAACCCTGCCAAAATATAAACCATCATCCAAGAAATATTCCTCAAACACCTTCCCATTCAGTCTCTATTTCCATATCCTCAGGAGCAACCATTTTTCGGATCTTTTCCATTCTAGAACCTCATATAACTAAATTCGTGAGTATATGCTCTTCTGTGTCTGTGCTGAGCTCTTTTTTGGTTATTATTTTCTATGACACAAGCAAGATTTACTTAGTACTGCATCCAAAATATTCCTTTGGGTCTTCCCCTAAAAATCTCCATAGATTTAGCTTTAGCATTATAGGTATATGGGCTATTTTCAATTCATCTCTCACATATAGAATATGGCAATGGTTGCAATTCTTTTTTTCTTTTTCAGTATCATTTGTTGAGAAGATTTTTCCTTCCCAAAGCAATCAACTGATTTTTCAGTATACACTGGTTATCATGAACTGCATTACTTAAAATATCTGTGTTTTTAAGACACATTCATACATTGCTGGTGGGATTGCAACTTGGTGAAACCAATCTGGAAAGCAGTTTGGAGATTCCTTGGAAAACTTGGAATGGAACCATCATTTGACCCAGCTATCTCACTCCTTGGTTTATACCCAAAGGATTTAATAACAGCATACCATAGGTATGTAGCCACATCAATGTTGATATCAGGAAAATTCACAATAGCTAAGTTGTGGAGCCAACCTAGATGCCCTTCAGTAAAGAAATGGATAAAGAAACTGTGGTATATATACACAATGGAATATTAAACTCAGCATTAAAAGAGAGTGAAATCATGGCATTTGCAGGTAAATGGATGGAACTGGAGAATATTATGCTAAGTGAAGTAAGCCAAGCCCAAAAAACCAAAGGTGGATGTTTTCTCTGATATGAGGATGCTGATCCATAACAGGGATTTTGGGGGTGCAGAGCATGGGAGAAATGGAGGAACTTTGGTTAGAGCAGAGGGGAGGGAGAGGAAGGGAGGGGGCAAGGGGTAGAAAAGAAGATGGAATGAGATGAACATCAGTACCCTAAATACATGTAAAAAGACGCAAATGGTGTGACTCTACTTTGTGTACAGCCAGAGACATAAAAATCGTGCTCCATATGTTTACTATGAATTAAAATGCATTCTGCTGTCAACATATAACAAATTAGAATTAATAAATAAATTTTTAAAATAGGTCTTCTTTTTTGCCTAATTACATGCTTATTTATTTTTAAGAGAAAGGTAAAATAAGTAGGTGTGTGTGTGTGTGTGTGTGTGTGTGTGTGTGTGTCCTGTAAAATCTGCGTTGTGTTCCCCAAGAAGCCAGTCATAACAAACCAATTCAATTAGGGCTATGTTGTCATTTCCCCCTCACAAACAAAGGCTGTTCATTACACATAATAGGACAACAGCTCTACACACTGGGGTGAGTCAGAGACTGAGGACATGATGATTCAGCTTTGATTCACATGGCAGTTTCTTTAGTGCTGCTTACTAGTATAAGCCAAACCCCAAAAAACCAAGGCTGAAGGTTTTCTTTGATAAGCAGATGCTGATCCAAAATGGGGAAAGGGGGTTGGGAAGTATGAAAGAACTTTGGATTGTGCAGAGAGGAGTGAGAAGAGGGGATGGGGTGTGGGGATGGGAAGGATGGTGGAATGAGATGGACATTATAACCCTACATACATGTATGATTACTCTACCAGTGTGACTCTGCCATGTATAGCTGGAGGAAGGAGAAGTTGTACTCCATTTGTGTACAATGTGTCAAAATGCATTCTTTTGTCATGTAAAACTAATTAAAATAAATTTAAAAAATAAATAAGTGATAAATAAATAAATAATAAAAATAAAAAAAACAAATACTTGGATGCATACCTGTCCCTCACAACAAAAGTCTTCATCCTTCACTCTGAAATACTTATTCCTAGAAAAGTTCAGTTTTTCTCACCTCCCATTTGTACATGCTATGTTATCTATTCCACTATAGGTACCTGAGGAATTCTACTCATATCAAAGGAAGTCTTTCTGGAGCTCCCATCAATGTTAAATATTCCCTCCTCTATACTCCCATGGCACTGATTGTAGATTATTGTATCGCCTCTTCATATTCCTTTATATTCATCCTCTGCATCTCTTTCCTCATAACACATGGCTTCCTTAACATGAGTCTCTGGAAAATATAAATTTATTCATCATTCTTTGAACTCTTGTTCATTAAAATGAGTCCAACAACAATTATAGACTTGCTTGGATTAAAAAACATTAAAAATTGGATTTTTAGATAGTTTAAATTTTAAATATTTTCCATGTCAACCGTAATTATATTTATATTTGTATCTATGAGACCTCATAGCCTGATGTCTTGGTTTGGTAATTTTAATCATCTTCTCATATTATTGACTGGAAAAAAACTCCCTTAAAGAAATAACAGAAAACATTTATAATTTTACCTTTTGCATATTATGAAGTTTCCTTGTATATGAAGATTGGAGTAATGATTGTAAAAGAGCATTTGAAGTATATATTCTCCAAGAAGTGCTTTAAATGTAGCCTACTATTTTCCAAATTAAACTCTTCCTAACATGCTATTTGATATTGTGAAAGAAAGTATAATGATATATAGATTGAGTCCTAATTCTGCATTTATTAACTGTGTAAAATAATCAATAAGGGCAACCTGGGTTATTTTACATTATAGAGACCCTGAAAAGAATAGTGGTTTCATTCACTGTGAGGATAATCTAGGGTCGGCCACAATCATGTTTCACATTGCTGTCACAGTTCAATCAGGCTGGTGGAAAGATGATATCTGGCATATTGCCAATCATCAAGGCAAAGGAGGAAGAGCAGTGAGCAGAATCATACTCTGACTCTGGAACATTCTTCCTGGGAATATCACATGTCACTACTACCCACATTTCTAAGGGCCACCTTTGAGTTCATCTTGTAGGAGGAAAGTTGGAATACAGTGTTTGGCTAAAGTAAACATATCTACCAAATAAATGATTTGGGGGAAAACATTTTTTTCTGCTTCTCAGCCTATTCATCTATAAAATGATAATACAATAATGACAGCAACTGCTTCATAAATTTATGAATGTACGCAGAGATAATACGGGCAAAACAACAGTAACTGACATGTACTTATTTTTTTAGTAAATGTAGGTTTAAAGAAAATAAAGAATCTTCATTACTGTATCTGTCAAATAACTGATAGGCTAATTTATATCTCTAGTGTTTGGGCCTCAGCTGGATGATTAGAATCAAAGGTGTCAGATATGGTTCTAATGTGGACAGACATATGAAGTCTTGGTTCTTTGCCTTATAGAATCTGTTGGGATTGATATTCAAGATGACTCCTTCACACATATGTCCTGTCTGGAATAGCCATAACTTCTGGGAGCTGGCTCACAAAGCTCTCTAGATACACATGGAGGATTCAAAATGGCTTACATCTTATGTAGCAACTGGTTTCCATCTTAAGAGATACTGTAAGACAGGGTGTTCCAAGAGGCCCAGTTAGAAGTCACAGGGCTTCTTATGATGCAACCTGAGGTCCAGAATAACTCTTTCACTCCACTCCACTAGTAAAGCATAACACAAAGCCATCAGTGTTTTTATCTCTTTACTAAACAAATTAGCTGAAGAATTAGAATTAGGGTAAGTGTTGATAGGAGTTGACAATGGATATGTTGATAGGTGTGTAGTGGATTAATTTTTTTTTCTTTTGCATCTAACGGCAAATGAGGGCAAACAATTTAATTAATTTTAACCTTAATGAGGTTATGTGTTTATCTCCCATTCATATGTCATCTTTAGTGAATGGTCTCCTCAAACTGTTCACCTGCTTTTGAATTGTTTTCTTATTACTTTCAGTTTTAAGAGTATTTAAATATGTATCCTAAATATAATTTCCCTGTCAAATATGTGATTTAAGGGATTTAAGGGATTAGTTTTGGTATTATAACTAAGAAAAGTTTAACTTGAAGTCACAAATATTTTCTTCAAAAGTTTGAAAGTTAATGTGTTAAAGTTGGACCTCTAAATCATTTTAAGTTAATTTTTGGATCAAATGTGAGATACTGGTTTGGTTCTGGCCTCCCTGCAATGAATGTTCAATTGTTTCAGATTCATTTTTTGAGAAATGATTAATTTTTCCTTGAATTTTCCTCATATTTTTGTCAAAAATCAATTGATCATATTGCTTATGTTTTTGGACTCCGTCATCTATTCCTTTCCTAGTATCACACTATTTTGATACTATAGCTTTATACTAAGTCCTTAAATCAAATAGTTTGAAATCTCTAACTTTGTTTTTCTTTTAGAAATTTGTTTTGGCCATTCTAGTTATCGTCCATATACAGTTTAACTTAAAAATAAAAATAAAAAATGTGTTCCTGGAATTGAATTGGTATGATTTTTCTGCAATATTTTGGTAGAATTCACCAGTGAAATCCATTTGGGATTGAAGATCTCCTTTTGGAAGATTTTAAACTACAAATTCAATTGTCGTAATACAGATGGATATATTCAGTTGCCTACTTCTTTAGTTAATTTTAATATTGGTTGGCTTTCAAGAAACTGATCCACTTTACCTATATTGCTGAATCTATCTTTGGAGTTATTACTGGTATTCCCTTATTAATTTAGGTAACAATGTATGCTTATTAATTTCTGACAGTGATAATTTTTTTTTCATTTCTCCTTTTTCACTTGGTCATTCCAGAGAGAAGTTTATCAACTTTATTGCTTTATTTGTTCTGTTTTAGATTTGATTTCTGACCTTATTCTTCATACTCTTCCTTCTATTTTCTTTGAGTTAATATTGTTCTTCATAATCCATTTTTAAGGTGTAAATTTAAGTTGTTAATTTGAGACTATTATTCACATAATGCCATGAGTTTCCCTTTGAATCCTGCTTTCCATTCCATACATGTTCATATGTCACACTTACATTTTAGTTCTGGTAAAAATATCTTCTAATTTCTTTAAATAAATATAAATTGTAAAGAAGAATCTTTCAAATTTAATTAATTTACATTTATTTGGGTATTGTCTACATAAATTTATTTTATTTCTAATTTAAATACTTTATTGTCAGAGCGTATACTTTGTAAGACTTCAACTCTTTAGAGTTTGTTTTGGTTTAGTATTGTGGACCTGGTCTATCTTGGTGAATGCTTCAAGGACACTTAGAAAAAGCATATGCTATTGTTGTGGGGGGTGTCCCAAACATGCCAGTTAGCGCCCATTGGCTAGTGGTGTTATTCAGTGCTTTTTTATATTTGCTTTCATTCTGACAAATGGCTTCATCCATTACTAAGAAGTTTTGAAGGCTTCACAACCATAATTGCAGATCTATTTACTTTTAATTTTAATTCCATTGGGGTTTACTTCATGCATTTTGAAGTTTCATTATAAAATCATATACATTTAGAATTGTTAGGTTTTCTTTGTCAATCAACATTTTAATCACTATGCTATGACCTCTTTATTCTTGACAATCTTCCTTGCTCTGAAGCCCACTTTGATATGACTGTATCTCTTCCTGATTTCTTTGGATTGACATTTGAATTTCTTTATTCATTTTTCATCTTTTCTTTTTTTAAAATTTGTTCTTTTTAGATATACATGACAGTAGAGTGTATTTTGTTACATTATGAATGCATGGAGTATAACTTATTCTAATTCAGATTCCATTCTTGTGTTTGTACATGATGTTGAGTTACACTGGTCATATATTCACGTATGAGCATAGGAAAGTTATGTCTGATTTATTCTACTATCTTTCCTGTTCCCCTCCCTCTTCCTTCCCTTTATTCCCCTTTGTCTAATCTAGTGAACTTCTATTCTTCCTTCCCACTTCCCACGTTCCCTTGTTGTGGGTTAGCATCTACATATCAGAAAGAACATTTGGCCTTTGGTTTGGGGGGACTGGCTTATTTCATTTAGCATGATATTCTTCAGTTCCATCCATTTACCAGCAAATGCCATAATTTCATTCTTCTTTATGGATGAGTAATATTCCATTGTGTATATATACTATATATATTTTTTATCCATTCATCTGTTGAACAGCACCTAGGTTGGTTTCATAGCTTGGCTATTGTAAATTGAGCTGCTACAAACATTGATGTGGCTGCATTACTATAATATGCTGATTTTAAATCCTTTGGGTATAAACCAAGGAGAGGGATAACTTGGTCAAATGGTGGTTCCATTACAAGTTTTCTAAGGAATTTTCAGACTGCTTTCCATAGTGGTTGCACCAATTTGTAGTCCCACCAGCAATGTCTTTCTCTTCCTTTTACCTTTAACCTATGCAACTTTCTCAAATCTGAGTGTTGGTTTGTTGTTTTAGCAGGCTGGTTTGATTTTCTCCATATTTAGACTCACTTTCTATGGACTATAGTTCCAACATCAATTCACTCTTTAATATCTTTGCAGGGCATTTTGTATTTTTGCCTTCAGTCTATTGCATAGTTCAATCATCAAAGGATTTTGTATGTTGTCAGCATTGAGTCCCCCTATGACTCAGGTGTGAGCCCAGGTATTGTTGCACATTTTATGAGATCTTTTACGCAGGCAGCACCTATTAATTTCTCCCACACTCTCTAGCTCTTGGGGCTGTCCTTTCTTGTCTCTGTCTAGACAGTCAAATTTTCAGTCTCTCTGCTCTACTATACATTTCCCACCGTGGGGTGAGAAAAAGGTAATGCAGTGCCTCCCCACGTTCCCTGGATCTCATCATTGTTTTGCTCATAGAAAACAATTCCCCACTTATTGCTCTTATTGACTTTCATAAAACCTACTTCTATTTGGTTCTCAGTGTCCTCAGACAGTTGTTCTACACACTGCTCAGTTTTTGGTTATATTCAGTAGGAGAAAAGGGGTAAATGCACTTACTCCATCTTATCCTGAACTGCAAAAAATAATTTCAAAAGCAATTTACAAGTATAAAGTTGGATGCCAATAATACATATAAATATCTTCTTTTTTAAAATTTTTTTTAGTTGTTGGTGGACCTTTATTTTATTCATTTATTTATACGCAGTGCTGAGAATTGAACCCAGTGCCTCACACATGTGAGGCAAGAACTCTACCACTGAGCCACAATCTGAGCCCATATCTTCTGTTTTGACATAATATTAATTCTAAATAGGAAGCTAT